TGTGTGTGTGAGAGAGAGAGAGTGTGTGTGTGTGTGTGTGTGTATTTATGTATGTGTATGTGTGTTCGTGTGTGGGCTGTGTGCGCGTATCTTTGTGTTCGCGCATTATACGTGTGCGCGTACGTGTGAGTTTGTGTGTGCGAGTGTGCGTTTGTGTGTGCGAGTGTGTTTGTGTATGTGTGTTTGTGTATGTGCATCTGAATGGGTATGGTGTCTTTGTGTGTTTGTTTAGAGGATCAGGGAAACTGTTAAATTCTTGAAAGCACAAAACAAGCAGACCTACAAACACCCAAGTAAAATACAGAACTCTGCTTTTCGTATCAGCGGATCAGGCTAATGTTGGCAGCAATTTGTCTCATAAACCAGCAGCATGACGTCAGTTGTGAAGTGAAAGTTCAATCTAAAAAAGAGAAAATACCCAACTCACGAATCAAATGTCAGAACAACATAAAGTGCAACTCCAAGTTGTTCTTCTCAGCCGACATGACACAATAATTGCACTTAATCATTATTTTTTAAAAACCATGAAAAAGTATATTATAAAATACAACAACAACAACAACAACAACAACAACAAACAAACACACACACACAGAGAAAAACAACAACTATAAATTCGAGTCTCCTCCCCCAAATGAAGCACGTAATTAGACATCCATTTTAAGCAGCCTCGGATCCCTCGGTCCCACACCCACATACTCCTCGGTCTTGGCAAAGGACGAACAAAAGAAATTAAACTCTTATCCTGTTGCTTACTGAATTAATTGAAATAAATTGCCCAGCCCATAAAACATGCCCATTTTGCTATAATCTACAGTCATAAAAAACATTAGTTTGATATAATCATTATTCACTGCTTTTACTTTTGTTCTCTCGTTTCTCCTGTAATGTTCCTATTTTCCACGCCCTATTCTTCTTTTTCTCTGTCTCTGCCCCCCCCCCCCCCCCCCCCCCCCACCAAAAAAAAAGAGAAAAAAGAAAAGGAATTAACAGGTTACATCTCACGAGTGGTCGAGGAAATCTTGGGCCCCATCAGGTGTGTTGTCTCACTCCTTGTGTCAAGATGTTATTCAGCAAGGATGGAGGAAATGGCTAATCTGTACACATTCATGTCTAAACCACGCTTGAAATAGTCCATGTCATGGCTATATAGGGCCGATTGGCCCGCAAGTTTTGGCCGAAACCTCATACAAGAGTAGTTAACCATAGCCATAGCCATTGGTGGCGGGAAATGGGCAACATGAATCCTACCGGAATTACACGGTCACAGGGCAGATAGGTCATCCAATCTCATGAAAACCCTTGTACCCTCCTATCCCAACGTGTTTGGCCCCTTCTCAGTGTGAGCAGGCAGTCCATAGACACCCCAGTCCTCAATGCCCACAAGTTCTTGCCAAGCCCATACCATCCCTGTGTTCCCCTCAATCGTTTTGATTCAAAATAAAATGTGGACATTTTTTGGTTTCAGCCGTGCTGACTGAGCTTGGTCTTTAGCTGTTTATGGACAAAACAAGAACATTATTTTATTTTTTCGACCCCTATCCTGTATTAAGTCTGTGTGTTCCTGAAGAGACCATGCGATGCCACACTCGCCCTATCCGGGTGAACCCAAAGTGGGCACTGTAGGCCTACAGTCCAATCCATGTGGTTCTCGGGGTCTAGAGGTACGATGCTTGCCTCTCCTCATTCAATAGGTCATCCAGGGTTCGAAACCTAGCAGTGACGGACAATTTTCTACTCTAAAACGTTCTCCTTTCACCTCTCTTGTCATATTCTGCCATCTGCTTTCATCAGTACTTTCTGCCTCAACCCCCTCTCCTCGCTCCCTTTCTCCCTCCACTGGGCCCCTGACTCTTTAATCTATTGGTACTCCTGGGTCCTTCTTAGTGTGGGTAAGATCGAACTCGACCTAGCCTTCTCGTATAAGAGAAATATCGAAGGTTCTGAGTGCAAATTGCGCACGATAAAAATCCATTGGTGGTCCTAAACTTGATAAGAGTAGGCTTCGGACGCCACCTGGGCAAAATCATATCCTACCTAACTGGTCGGATTAAGCCACATTGCCCAGCATGATACCATATCAATTAAACTGTAGGTGGCCCTGTGATCTTCTTGGATCTCCTGTGCAGGGTTAACGTAAATAGTCTGGTATTGGCGAAGAGATCTGTGCGATCAGACATTTCACTACCTCACTCAGTGTCCATATTAGTAGGATCGGTCCTTTTCAGTTCTGTTTCAAAATGGCTTGCTCTTGAACATGGTCGTTCCTGGAGTATTCAAAGTCTTCCATCTTTTTGACTCTGTCCTGTTTGAGATTTACTAATGGTGAATTCGGAGTATATTTATATCATTTTCCCTTTGCAAAACATTTAAGTTAGGGAAATGGTAGGCCTATTATACATAACCATCTTTAGTTTCTCCCTTTTTAAAAAAACCTATCTGGGCTGTCTGTCTGTCTGTCTGTCTGTCTGTCTGTCTGTCTGTCTGTCTGTCTGTCTCTCACTCTCTATCTCTCTCTCGCTCTCTCTATCTCTCTCGCTCTCTCTCTCTCTATGCACACACACA